CCTGAGGGGTGAGGGAGAGGAGGGTCTCTCCCACCCGGGCTCGGGCTCAAGACCCAGCTCCCCTAGCAAGTGGAAGCCCCTCCAAAGAGGGAGGGTGTGACGGACACCCCTGTGGTGGAGCTCAGCGCAGAGCCAGGCTCTGTGGCTCTGACCCAGAGGCTGGCACACGCATGGCCCCATCCCTCAGCCTGAGCTCTCTCTCCAGCAGTCAGGAGACAAACCAGCTTTGGGGCCGCGCCCAGTGGGTGTTGCCAACCGCTATCCCGGCCTCTGAGTCCTCTCCCTCCTCCCCTCCACCTCCCCTCTCTTCCTCTCCTGGCGTTCTTCCTCCCAGCCCTGACTCGCCTGCTGGCCTGTGGGTGGGTTCCCCGAGATGGATGAAGCCGGGCATGAGAGGTCAGGTCCCTACCCGTGATTGCGTCAGCTCTCCGTGGGGAAGTCAGGGTGGGATCCTTCAACCTCCTGGCCCCCATTTTTCTTTCAGGCACTTGGGTGGGAGTAGTCTGCCTTAGTTCCTAGGACTATCGGTACTAAATTAGATGCCGAAGAAATCAGGCTGGGTTTGTTCCCCTCTTTAAAAAGAGTTTTTTTAAGTGGGGCATGGATGGAAGTGAGGAGTTAGACCCCCATTCTTGGGGTGAGGGCACAATTCATTTTCTCCTTTTGGTTGCTAAAATGATCATGAATTAACATTTCCCATGAGCAGACCCCGAGACCAGTCAACCTGCCTGCAAGTTCATTCCCTGCCCACAAGTCTCAAACTGGACCAAGTCTGAGAGTGATAGACAATTTACAATTCTGAGAAAAGGTCAGATTCCCAAATCTCCTGGCTCTTTTATCTGTCCCTCCCCCAATATCCAGGCACCAAGGTTCTCCCTGGTTGTCCCCACTCCGTCCCAAACCCTCCAACCCTGACAATAACCTATCATTGTTATCTCATTTGGTGTTTGCAAAGCACTTAACAACCATTGTTGTGAGTTTTTCCTCTTATTTACAAAGTACTTTACAACTATTATTACAAGTCTTTCCTCTGAATGTGGGGTAAAGCTGACCCACTTCCGAGAGCTGGATTCCCACTGCCTTCTAAGTGGTTGGTCCAGTTCCCGTGATGCCCAGCACTGGGTGGGTGGGGCTTTCGTAATTCAAGGCCATGGCTGTGCCCTTCCTTATTAGAAATCAGGCTGCTGCCCACTTGCCCTCGGGAAGTTCCACCCAGTGCATGTCTGATGAAGTGGTTATTAGCAAGGTTCACAGCGTCAGATGATGGTGCTGGTTTGGGGCTCCCAGCCTGTCACCTCCCACTTCCCCCAGAGTGGGTGCTAAACAGCAGGGTTTGAACCTCTTTCTCTCCCTTCTTCAGTTCAAGGGGGGGAAATATATGTATGTGTCAGATGTAAGAGAGCAAAACAGTCCCTTCTCCCAGAGTGTACTGGGAGCTGCTTGAGGTGATCAAAATTTTTTTTTTGTTTCATTCTTATTTTTTTTTCACATTTTAAAAAGTAAGCAATTATAACATTACAGAACGGTGTTTTAAAAAATGAAAAGTCCAGGGACTTCCCTGGTGGCACAGTGGTTAAGAATCCACCTCCCAAAGCAGGGGATACGGGTTCGAGCCCTGGTCCGGGAAGATCCCACATGCTGCGGAGCAACTAAGCCCATGCGCCACAACTACTGAGCCCACATGCCACAACTACTGAAGCCCACGTGCCTAGAGCCTGTGCTCCGCAACAAGAGAAGCCACCGCAATGAGAAGCCCGTGCACTGCAATGAAGACCCAACGCAGCCAAAAATAATTGAGTAAATTTAAAAAATAAAAAAATTTTAAAAAAATGAAAAGTCTATACAATTTGATTAGCCTAATAGAAGCCCCTTCCTGGTAGTCTCAGCTGCTATCACAGTGTATTTGGTGTTTTGCGTGATGCATTTTTCATTTAACATGGGAGGTAGGCATTTTTCTTTATTGTTAGGTTGTCTTTGTCATCATCATTTACAATTATGTAACGTTCCATTGAGGGAGTTGGATGGCAAGATTTTCTGGTAGAAGATATGGAAACTTTGCCCATTTGGAGGTGTGGTGGGTTGTAAGGAGACGTGGTGCACCTGAGGGATGCTTTTAGGAAGCACGGCCTTCACCTCCCCATCCTTCTTTTGGCTGCTGTTGTAACACCTGACTCTTCAATCTGGGACTTCTGCACTTCCTACCCTAGGCAAGAAATCTCTGCCACCGTAATGCCCACCTTGTTTAAGATATGTGGCCCAAATGAATCCAGTAATATTTACTCCTTATTGATACTCTGACCCGATCTGCCCAACCAGGTCATTAGCATTCTGAGCTCCTGTGACATCTGTCGGAGCGCTGAAAGAGCAGATGCTCAGTAAGTATTTGTCGGTGACAAATACACACTTGCCAACCTCCAGTGCCTTCCCCCAGCCTGTAAAATGGTTGCTTGACTGTGTAACCCATTCTGTGTGGCAAGAAGGCATTTCTAAGGCGAGCCTTGGTGCTGGGTTCTCAAGGTAGTCAGGCCAGTAACCAGTAGAGAGACCAGGACTGCTAGGGAGGCTCCTGGGCTGAGATCCTGTCCTGGGTGTAAAACAATACATATGAAGAGAAAAGGGAATCTCCCCTCCAGAAAAGAGGAATGGATGGAGAAAGACCCTCTCCCTGTGCAGCCTTCTTTAGATGAACTGGAACATAGGAAAGAGGTTGGTTTGCTTATCTTTAAAAGGAAAAGAGTGTGAATCTTCATCGGTGAGAGGCACGTTCTGAAATATTTATGAGTGAAATGACAGAATGTCTGGGATTTTCTTCAAAAGAAATCAGGATGGGGGAAAGTGGGTGGAGGAGGTGTACATGAGACAAGATTGGCCACTAATTGTTGGAAGCTGGATGGTGATTAAATAAGAGCTCATTTTCCTATTTGGGCCACTTTTTAATATGTTTAAATTTTTTCATTGTTAAAAAAAAAAAATAGACTAATTAGGTTGTGCTCTGTTTGGACTGGAAAGGTGATGTAAAAAGCCCTCCGTCGTGATTTGGACAGGAATGCAGAGGATCAATTTAGGGGCTGTAGCGCCATCTAGTGTTGATTGCAAACACTCTACAAAATGAGGACCTTGCCAGCGCCCCTCCTTGGTCTGAGGGCCTTTTGTGAGCTCCCCTGGCCTTTCCAGTCCCCTCACTGGAAGGCTGGGCCGAGGGAGCAGGGCCACCGGGCAAGGGCAGGTGGAGGGTGACATGCAGGTTTTTCACTCCACGCCTCCCCCCGGGTTTGGGGAAGCAAGCCGAGAACAGGAGTCATCGTGTCATGTGCGGCTCTCAAGGCAGGTGACCTTGCTGGAGGGTTCTCAGTGTGACCCAGGTGCAAAAATAGCCTCTCTTGTGACCGATGTGTGCTCAGCTCCCCGGCCTGAGCAAACAGCCCCTCACACCTGCACACTGTTTACTCATAGTTACTTGTTTGCAGGTGCAAATGACTGTTTGTGTACCCAGAGTTGAGGAGAGGGCCTCCACCATCCTCTTCTCCAGCCCGAGTTCCCTCAGAGCAGGTAGCGAGGCCACAGAACTAGCAGAATGTGCGGCCTTAAACCCCAGGGTAAGGGGCTAGGCTGATGGAGGGAGAGCTCTTACCCTCCTCCCCAAGTCTCCCCCCTGAACTAGAGAAAAATCCACTTTTGCCTCTGGTAGTGGGACAAGAACAATCTGAACACCAGGGTGGCTGTATTTAGGGACAGAAAATTTAGAAAGGATATAAAAATGTTCAACATAGGAAGCATTTTGTATACATGGAGTCAGAGAGACTTCTGGAAGTTCTGAGCCAGACTTTATGTAGATCACAAGGAATAAGGAAACTGGCCCAGCCTGTCTCAGCAGGATGACTGAAATGGCCACGAGTGAGATGAGTCAATTGTTAAATTCTATAGACATGGAAGACAAAGGGGATGGGGAGGGAGGGGCCTGTGAGTGAGTGCAGGGAAATGGCAGGGATGGCCACGTTCCTGTGGACGGGTTCCACTCTAAAGCATCATTGCTCATAATATGCACCTTTATTTTATGTTCCAATAAGCAAGGAAAATGTCAAGCTATGACACAGCATATCATACAGATACACTGAAATGAGAAAAATGAGTTACAGCCTTTTTCTGCAGGAAAGTTTGAAAATTTCAAGAACTTTCAGAAAAAGATAGTCCCTCTGGCTCAGTAATTCTGCGTCTAGGGGGAGTATCCTAAGGAATAAGCAGAAATGCCAAGATTAGTTTTCAAAATGAGCGGGTCTACAAAAGTCAGAAACTGGCTAAGTAGAAGTCCAATGAGAATAAAGGATGGTGCAGTCCTAGCATGGGGTAATACACACTAAAATACGTTTATAAAGAATTTCTGATGTGGGAAAATGCTTTGGTATGAAGTGAAAAAACGGGCTCAAAATGATACAGCTTGACCTCAAGTAGACAAAAATATGTCAATATGTAAAACGTTGCAAAGGATCTAACAGAACAAGATGTTAATAACATGGTGATCTTTGAGTTACAGGATTATGTATGATTCCTATATTTTTTTACACATCCCAGCATTTAATTTTCCCGAAGTAAATATTTATTATATTTTTATTGAAAAGGAAATGGAATCTCAATTTTGAAAGGGAAAAAAGAGAGAAAGAAGGTCTTGAGTGGAACTCAGTATTAGGTGAAACCCCGCCCCCGCCAGGCTCTGAAGAGAGAAATCCAGGCGCTCGTGGTCTCTGCCACACTCTGTTCCCTTTCGCGTGACCAGGGAGAGCCTGCTGTGTCTGGGATGCCGGGGGTAAGGTCCGCTTGCTAGGACAGCCCTCTGAGCCGGTTCCCAAGGCTTAGGGCCAAGCGAGGAAAAGCCAGGCAGCCCAAAGCGATCCATCTTCCACTCCTTGCAAGGAGAGGGCATTATTTCCTTGGTGTCTAGATTCTCCACTGTGAGATTTCTGACATAAACAGAGAACTAATCCTCTGTATTGTTTCCCACCCAGTAGATATGTTTGACGACTTCTCGGAAGGCAGAGAGTGTGTCAACTGCGGGGCCATGTCCACCCCGCTGTGGCGGCGGGATGGGACGGGACACTACCTGTGCAACGCCTGCGGCCTCTACCACAAGATGAACGGCATCAACCGGCCCCTCATCAAGCCCCAGCGCCGCCTGGTAAGCCAGTGCCGCGCGCCCAGCAGCCAGGCTTCTCTCCTTCTGTCAGCTCCTGGCTTCAGGGCTCGGCCTTGGTGGGAAATTCCTGGTTTTGAGTTTGGGGCTTCAAGTCATGTTTCAGAGAAGGTGCAGGTTTAAGGGCTGGATGAGTGGCAAATAGTAATTTCTTACACCTTCAGAGTTGGATTGAGCTACGAGGATGGTCCAGGCCATTTAGTTCAACCCCTTAGTTATGCAGAAATGAACAGTGAGGCTCAGAAAAGCTAATGGCCTTGCCCATGGCCACTTAGACACTGAGTCTCCCCTCAGGGACCAGAGTCCAGACTTCCTGCTCCCCGACCCAGCGTTGTCTGGTGTATCGCCTATGTTCACATCAACTCCACAAGGAAGGCTAATTCATCCTTTGTGTCGTGACTTACCCTGTTTTCAGTTGATCCGTTGATAAACCCAAAGACCAGGGAGATTATGTGGGGCATGCTGGGCCCTGTGGCTGGGGAAGAGTTGGAACCAAGTTTATGTCTCCTAGTTTCCTGGTCTTTTCTACTAAAATTTGATTTTGACCAATTTGAACTAGCTTTCCACAGATATTAGGGAAAGAAGAACAGAGGGGATAAACCCTGGTGCTTCCCTTTCTTGAGGTCAGTCTTTGAAGACACTCGGACACAGTAATTCCTCGTCCCCTCTCACTCCCGGCCCCTGAGGCCCGGATTCGTTCTACTTTGGGGAGAAACTTTTCTGCCTACAGTGTGCAGGGCTTCCTGGGCTTTTCCCTGACGCGAGTGACTGATAACGTTGCTGACGCCGCAGTTATGACCAAGATCTGCCATCCCCTGCAGCACAGCCCTTTTGCTCCCACGCCCCCAGGAGAGGCTTAGGGACGCGGCATCCGAGCATCCGGTGCGGTGGCTGGTCTGAGACTCTCACCCAGCCGTGCCCCACACTTGCTGCTGGTGAAGCGAGATGCTGCGGCACCTGCGTGTCCTCGTCCTTGGACCTGAAGGGTCTGTCTCCTGTGTTGCAGTCCGCCTCCCGCCGAGTGGGCCTCTCCTGCGCGAACTGCCAGACTACCACCACCACTCTGTGGCGCCGCAACGCCGAGGGCGAGCCCGTGTGCAACGCCTGCGGCCTCTACATGAAGCTCCACGGCGTAAGGGTCCCCCGACCGTGTCCCGTGCTTTCCTCCACCGCTCGGGTCTCACCCCTCTTCCTCCCTGCAGATCATAATTCATTTTCTCCTTAACAAAGAAATGTAGATCTGGAAGGGACCTTAGAGACTGTCGTAGTGCGTTAGGGTTGCTATAGCAATACCATAGACTGGGCGGCTTAAACAATAGCAATTAACCGCCATGGTTCTAGAGGCTGGAGCTCCGAGATCAGAGGCCAGCAGGGTTGAGGGAGGACCCCTGTCCAGTGGCAGACTTCTCTCACTGTGTCCTCGCTTGGTGGAAGGGGCAAAGGAGCACTGTGGGGTCTCTATTATAAGGGCACTAATCCCATTCATGAAGGCTCCACCCTCATGACCGCATCACCTCCCAAAGGCCCCACTTCCTAATACCATCACCTTGCATGTTAGGTTTGTGCACATATGAATTTGAGAGGGACACAGACATTCAGACCATAGCAGAGACATTGCTATGGAACATCATTTCCATCTTTAACGTTACGTAAGTCTAATTGCCATTTCACAGTTGAAGAGACTAAAAAATAGTCTATATGTGTGGTAGTTTGATATATAACAAAGGTAACAATTCAATGGATAAGGGATAGCTTTTTAAGAATGACTGTATTGACACAATCTGGAAAACAAAAAGAAAACTTGACCTCTACCTCCTACCAAAAGCAAAAACAAACTTGGATGTATTAAACATATGAAACGTAAAACATCTTTAAATAGAGACAATAAAAATGCTAGAAGAAGATGTAGAGGGGGAGTATTTATATAACCTTAAGGGTGGGAGGAGACGTTTTCTTCAGCAAGTTTTCAAAACTCTTAAGCCATAAAAGAAAAATTAGATATATTTGATTGTATAACATTTCATATTAGTGTATGGAAAAAGATACCCCAAGAAAGTAAAACCAATATACACATACATGAGAAAAAGGATTAATATTTCCAGAATACAGAGAGCTTCTACAAGCCTCTTTTTTTTCTGGCCACACGGCTTGTGGGATCTTAGTTCCCCAACCAGGGATCGAACTCGGGCCCTTGGCTGTGAAAGTGCAGAGTCTTAACCACTGGACCGCCAGGGAATTACCAAAGCTCTTTATGTTCTAATTTGGAACAATCTCCATTACATAGTGCTTAAAAACGAAGTCTGTGCAGAACACTGTACATAGCATGGTTCCAGTTTTATAAAGAAAGAGAGAGAACATAATTTATATGTAGTTGCTTATATATACATTGAACACTTTTGGACGGATGAATACACATACATATGTATACAGATATGTACGTGTGCACACATGTTTGAGAACTTTTTAAAATGTAAGAAACAGGCTGTTATTCCAATTGCCTCATGGGCAGAGGATTGATAGTAGTAAGATGGGAGGGGTTGTTATTAACTTAATCTCATGCATCTTTTCATGTTTTCTTGTTATAATGAGCTTAAAAATGTCTAAAAATAGAGAAAGCCCACGCACAGCAGCAAAGAGCCAACACAGCCAAAAAAAAAAAAAAGTCTAAAAATATAGTTAAGAATACTCATAAGAAAACATATGGACCCTTGAACAATGCAGGGGTTGGGGGTGCCGACCTTCTGCACTCAAAAATCCATTTCTAACCTATAGTCTGCCCTACGTGTACATGATTTCTCCTTCCCTGTGGTTCCACATGTGCAGAGTCAACCAACCACGGATCATGTAGTGCTGTAGTATTTACTATGGAAAAAAAAATCCACATTTAAGTGGACCCATGCATGCAGTTCAAACCCATGTTGTTCAAGGGTCAACTTTTGTAAGAAGTGTATACAAGGATACTTGTTGAATCATTGTAATAATGAAAATGGAGGAAAAACACCTTTGGGAGGAAAATGGTTAAAGAAACTATTGTTCTTCGATAGGGGAACGATAAAAGGAACTGATAGAGGAATATTATGCAGGTATTAAAAGGATTGTGTCTGTAAAAAATTAGAAATAGAATTACTATATGATACAGCGATCTATTTCTGGTATAAATCCAAAAAGAATTGAAAGCAGAATCTCGAACAAACATCTGTATGCTCATGTTCACAGCAGCATTATTCGCAATAGCCAAAAGGTGGAAGCAACCCATGTGTCTATTGATGGATGGATGGATAAGCAAAATGTGGTCTACACATACGATGGGATATTATTCAGCCTTCAAAAGGAAGGAAGTTCTGGGCTTCCCTGGTGGCACAGTGGTTGAGAGTCCACCTGCCGATGCAGGGGACACGGGTTCGTGCCCCGGTCCAGGAAGATCCCACATGCTGCGGAGCGGATGGGCCCATGAGCCATGCCCGCTGAGCCTGCGCGTCCCAACGGGAGAGGCCACGACAGTGAGAGGCCCGCGTACCACAAAATAAATAAATAAAATAAAAGGAAGGAAGTTCTGACACAGGCTACAACATGCATAGACCTTGAGGACATGGTGCTAAATGAAAGAAGCCAGTCACAAAAGGACAAACACAGTGTGATTCCACTTACATGAGGTCCCAGAGGAGTCAAATTCTTAAAGACAGAAAGTAGAATAGTGGTTGCCAAGGGCTGAAGGGATGGGGAAATGAGGAGTGACCAGTTAATGAGCAGAGTTCAGTTCTGCAAAATGAAAAGTGTTCTGGAGGTGAATGGTGGTGATGGTTCATAGCAATGCAAGTATACTTTTTTTTTAAGGAGTCTCATGAAATGTTATTCAATTTCAAGGGTACAGACAAGAAGCAAATTTCACAAAGAAATAATGCAGCAATGTAGTTACTGGCTTGGATGGCTGTACTTGGGGTTGTTCAGAGTGCTAAGAACTATTTGGATTATCAGCTATCCAGTTTTCTCCATTCTTCAGCTCTTTGCCACACGAGGATCCATTAGTCCTAACTAGAATGGAAATGAGGTGTACTTACAGAGATAAAATCTTATTCTTAGGATGCCAGAAAATGTAGAACATCTTTCTGAAGTAATAGAGGCCTTCAGTCTGTAAGTGGGTCACTTATTTCCCCAATAGGTTTACCTCTAAGTCAACTTGAAGCACAGCCTTCAGGATTTCAAGCTTAAAAAAACGGTTTAAACTATTTTCATCCTAAAATATTTAAAAATGGTTACACTGACTGGAAATTCCCTAAAATGAAACAGTTCAGTTATATTTGATAACTTTGTAGCACCCCAAATTCATTAGACACATTTAATGCATAGTTCCCAGACCTGCAATAATACAACCATAACCATTCTAATCATATCATAGTTGAATAAGATATTGACTGGTCCCTCTAGATAAAGTCTACAAAGCAAAGGACTGAGCAGATCTGTTGCCACGTCTCCTCAACGGCTCTATAGTAGGCACAAGCAGTTGAGCTTTTACTTTAACTAAGGTTATTAAGAGTTACTAAATTGGGGCACTTCCCTGGTGGCACAGTGGTTAAGAATCTGCCTGCCAATGCAGGGGACATGGGTTCGAGCCCTGGTCCGGGAAGATCCCACATGCCACGGAGCAATTAAGCCTGTGTGCCACAACTACTGAGCGTATGCTCTACAGCCCGCGTGCCACAACTACTGAAGCCCGTGTGCCTGGAGCCCGTGCTCCACAACAAGAGAAGCCACTGCAATGAGAAGCCCGCACACCGCAACAGAGTAGCCCCCGCTCGCCGCAACTAGAGAAAGCCCGTGCGCAGCAACAAAGACACAAAGCAGCCAAAAATAAATAAATAAATAAATTTATTTTAAAAAAAAAAGAGTTACTAAATTGACAGTGATTGAGGGAATTTGTAAAGTATCCTCACCATTTTTTCAATTCATTACGAGGTGAAATGATAATCTTAGAATAAGGATAAAAGGATTATAGGTGCATTGGAAAATTAAAATGATTGGATTTGATATGGCTGCTAATAGCCCACAGTTAAATAGAAGGAAAAAAAGTGGGGAGGGAAAGCCTTTCTGAACCACACCAAATTTCATACAATTACGCATAGGATTGTGTTTAGGTACAAATCCACTGCAATTCAAGTTTTTAGACAGAGGCCAATTACAAATTCATTATTTTGAAGTCAAAAGTACTTATCACATCTTCTAGATCCCACTTAAATAAAGTCTTCTTAAAAACTTATTGCTTTTTTTTTTGCGGTACACGGGCCTGTCACTGTTGTGGCCTCTCCCGTTGCGGAGCACAGGCTCCGGACGCGCAGGCTCAGCGGCCATGGCTCACAGGTCTAGCTGCTCCACGGCATGTGGGATCTTCCCGGACCGGGGCACAAACCCGTGTCCCCTGCATTGGCAGGTGGACTCTCAACCACTGCGCCACCAGGGAAGCCCAAAAACTTGTTTCTTAATAATCATATTTTAAACCACTAGGTTTCAGTAGACTGGTGAATAGACATACTCTGTATCAATACTAGAGGACATACTTTACATGAAAAATCATAGCAAGGCAGTTTACCAGAATTCTCATAGAAATGCACATTAGCCTATTTTACATGGCACCTGTACATAGCATCTGAGGAAATTTTTACAAAGATAATGCAGTAGTCTAGGTAATAATGTACACTAAAACTTTGGCATCTGTGTTACATTTTAAATCAACCAATAGTTCTATCAGTTCCTGCAAGCAGCCTACTTGAATATGACAGTCGACTCATCAGTAAAATTTCAGTGCCATTTATCAACGTGTTATGATGAAAAACTTTAATTAAAATAAATTCATTCACCTAGGATTTTAATTGATTTTTATAAATGAGAAGGAACCTGAATGATTCTATTTATGGTACATTTATAAATCAAGTAAGAATCCAGCAAGACCTCCAAAGCCAGTGGGAAATGATCTGTCTGATGCCTATGGTGGGAAGGGTATAAAGCACAGCTGTTAAAAGATGGTGACTGGCAGAAAACAAAGTTCTTCTATTTTCTAGTGACGCTGGCAGAAAAAAATACTGCTTCAAGATTTGGACACACATAGAGATACATCTGCCAGTGCAAATGTCTATCACTAGGTCCCCTCTCCTTTTAAAAAAGATATATTAGCATGCGCATTCTCAAATGGGGATGGTGTCACGTGGTGTCACCCCCAAGTAGGACCAAAAAAAACCCCTAGTCTTTTCATGTATAAAGCAGATATAATACATATACAGCATATCTATGATATTAAAATTCATTGGGGGAATTCCCTGGCGGTCCAGTGGTTAGGACTCCATGCTTTCACTGACGAGGGCTCGGGTTCAGTCCCTGGTTGGGGAACTAAGATCCCACAAGCCATGTGGCACGGCCAAAAAAAATTCATTGGGGCACTATTTAAAAAAAAAAAGTTTAAAAGGCTTTGGGGTGGGCTTGATGAAAAAAAGTTTTAAGGGGGCTTCCCTGATGGCGCAGTAGTTGAGAGTCCGCCAGCCGGTGCAGGGGACACGGGTTCGTGCCCTGGTCCGGGAAGATCCCACATGCCACGGAGCGGCTGGGCCCGTGAGCCATGGCCGCTGAGCCTGCGCGTCCGGAGCCTGTGCTCCGCAACGGGAGAGGCCACAAGTGAGAGGCCCACGTACCACAAACAAACAAAAAAAAGTTTTAAGAAACACTGAATTAGTGACTCTCTCAGTCACATGCATTTCTTCTCCCCACCATCACTATGCTATGTCAAAATACCCTGTGGCATTTTTGGTATTTGGAATTTTCATAAGAACATAATGTCTCTAGGACAATACTCCCAGAATAATTAAGATTAAGAAATTTATCATCAGCTCTAAACACATTTTTTTTTTTTTTTTTGTGGTACGCGGGCCTCTCACTGCTGTGGCCCCTCCCACCGCAGAGCACAGGTTCCAGACGCACAGGCTCAGTGGCCATGGCTCACAGGCCCAGCCGCTCCGCGGCATGTGGGATCTTCCCGGACTGGGGCACGAACCTGTGTCCCCTGCATCAGCAGGCGGACTCGCAACCACTGCGCCACCAGGGAAGCCCTCTAAACACATTTAATTATGGCATCTAAGAGGAGACTTATCCTTAGAAACTGACACCAAGTTAGGAAAATCAACATATATCTGATCATAATTACGAGTACAATCTTAACGTCTATGTTAAGAATTACAGGTTTGAGGTTGGCACTGGCAGCCGAAATTCAAAATTGCCACTTAAAATTCAAAATGAAAATCTGCAAAGTCTTTTTAGAAAGCATTCCCTTTCCTTACACTATACTGTCACAGGTGACTTTATCCATTAATGCGAGTATACTTGACACTACTGAACTGCACACTTGATAATGCTTAAGATGGTAAATTTTATGTGATGTGCATTTTATGACAATTTTTTTTAAAAAGTACTGAGGTGGATGAGGATAAACATGAGGACAGGATTCTTCTGAAGTCAGGATGGTCTTCAAGAGGTGGGCGCGGGGGGCAGGGGTGGTAGGGGGAGGCAGGGCAGGGAGGGGAGGATACTTTCCTCCACGAGTGGGAGTGCTGTCTCATCTGACTCGCAGTTGACTAGAAGGCAGTTCGAGTTCACGTATGCTACTGCACTTCTCTTTTTTTTTGGCCGCACCATGCGCGGCTTGTGGGATCTTAGTTCCCTGACCAGGGATTGAACCCGGGCCCTCAGCAGTGAGAGTGCAGAGTTCTAACCACTGGACCGCCAGGGAATTCCCTGCACTTCTTTCTTAACAATTCCATGTTCACATCTCCGACGTGGTCATCACTTGTCCTTCTGTATTTGCGGGTGTGGCCTCTGTTAGTCCCATATGGGAGACTAGCACAGACCAGGGGCTAAACAATTTGGTTGGCCAGGCCTGAAAGAAGCCAGATGTGGGGCAGGCACACTCTTCTAAAATGGTAGAAAGATGACCCTGCAGGCCTGCCCCCGACACTTGTTTAGGCATCTTGAATGGCTCAGGAGTGTGATGCCCGACAGTCACTGCTTGTTTAGGAGAATTCAGATGCCCTAAAGTGCTGTCATAAAGGACTCAGGCATTGGCCACAGGGCAGTCTCTCCGCCATTGTCCCCACTGCTCCCGACACCCATGGAAACCACCACTTGCCCCAGCCAGGCTCAGCACGGTGCAGAGCTGCTCCATGTAGAGTGACTTTACATCCCCACTCTCCAGGCCGCCTCAGGGCGTGCCCATGATCTCGGCATAGCTATTAGTAGCACCCCCTCTTCACTCGCACAGTGTCCCAGTGTGGCTGATCAGTTAGCGGCTTTGGCACGTACTGTTCTTGCTGCTTGAAATGTCTGCCCCTCATCGACTTGACAGTCTCCTACAACCCAGGCATCACCTCCTCAGGGAGGCCTGCCTTGATGTGCCCATGTGCCACTTTCCCTCCCCCAGCCCGGGACACAGTTCAGTGTTTCTTTTCTATTTTCCCTCATCACCTATGAATCTGGTTATCTTCTATCTGTCTGTCTTTCCCAACTGTGAACCTCTGGAGAGAAGGGACTGTGTCTTTAGGTCTTTGTTTCTCTAGAGTTTAGTATAATACCCAGCATGGAATAGACATGCTCAACACATTTTTTTTTTTGGTAGAATTGATTTCTTGCTCAGCAGGAGTTCCAGGCCTGATTCACTCAGTCTCAGCCCCAAGGTTTGTAGAGGAATTGCATAGATCTGGTCTTCTCGTTGTGTATTTGTGTGTGTGTGTGTGTGTGTGTGTGTGTGTGTGTAAATAATGTCACGGGTCAGGTACAAATGGAAAACCACATATATTGACTTGTGACCCCCTAGGTCCCCAGGCCTCTTGCGATGCGGAAAGAGGGGATTCAAACCAGAAAACGGAAGCCCAAGAACCTTAACAAATCGAAGACACCAGCAGGTGAGAAAAAGATCGATGTGTAATTATATGAATAACTCAGTAGCTCTCAGAGTGTGTGAGCATCGTGTGTGCTCAGGTGGGCCAGCCCAGGCTACCAGGGTGTAATGATAGCATCGTCCATCCCCGGCCGTTCAGGACAGAATGCATAACCCCGTGCAAAAGTAACATCACCATGGAACATATTGGGGGCTTTTAAAACAGGCTCAACTCATGTCGTGGCCTGGTTTTTGCCAGTTGCAAAGACTGCAGAGGTCCAGCTGGACCGGTTGAGGGCCTGGAGGAAAAAGGAACATGAGTCGGTCCCTCCATCTCTGGTGCTCCAGCCACTCAGGAACTCAAGTTCTTTCAATTTGCTTTGGGCTCAGTGGGGTGCAGGAAGACAGGGTCCTGTGAGTCATGTTCAGATTGATTTGTAACATTAATTTGTAAGCCAGTGTATAATTAACATCATGTAGTACTCTGTACCTTGCCAAGCTCCTTCACAAATATTATCTCATTGATCTTTACAGACCCCCATGAGACCCCATTTATGATCTCCATTTTACTAATGAGCAAGCTGAGGCTCAGAGAGGGCAATGACATCACAAGGGTCACACAGCTGTGAATGGGTAGAGCTGGAATTTAAACCCAAGAGTTTTCACTTCAGGGCCCATATTCTGTTCAATATATACTCTGCCTTCTCAATTTCTAGATTTCAGAATGAGGACTACTCGGGTCCCCTACCAAGAGCACTCCCTCCTCAGTACCGCTGTCAAATTAAAGATTTCACTGGAAAATGTGGCAGTTGTGGAGAAATTAAGTCGGCTGATATGATGGAAAGTTTATCTTCTAATCTAAGGCCTGACAGAGTCGGATAAGTTTCCCTGTTCCACTGCTGAGAACATGACCAAAGTTCTCCTTTTCCAGATTCGACAGTGGCTCGCTCCTTCTGGCAGTCACGTCTTAGCAGAGCGTTCACTGGCTCACACCAGGTCCTCGGCCTTTCTCCCTGCTTCCACATTGTTTATACGAACAGCACCTTCCCCTGGGGAACTTCATCTCTTTACATGGTGGCGTCCCAGCGGGAGCAGGCGTCGGTTCAGGTGTACAATCCCCTATCCGAAATTCCAAATCCAGGGAGCTAGATTTGGCAGTAAAATGTTATCTGAACTGACACAGGCTAGTTACAGTCTTCAGTTATCCCATGTGCGAATATTCCCATGTTTTGCTGTACAACTATTAATGTATTTAATTACGGGGTGTTGTCCCAGACCCCGCTGCAGGTATTCTGTTAATACTCAGTCTTTGTCCTTTTTAAAATCCAAAAGTTTGAATCCTGAGACACACGTAGCCCCAAGCATTTGGGATAAGCGGTGGTGAGCCTATCATCTGAAAAAGTTCCCTTGAAATTCTGCTACTTCTGCTTCATTGTGAGAACCGTTGCCCTGCACTGATGGAAGGACCCTGCTTCTCTCCCCAGCAAATGTAGACAAGCCGTTAGCGCGGATCTGCCCTGGCTGTCTCCAAGGGCCGCCATCCGTTTGTCCCTGCCCCTGGGCTGGGTGTCCTGACTCTGCCTTGTTCCAGGTCCCTCGGGCAGTGAGAGCCTCCCTCCCACCACCAGCGCTTCCAGCAGCAGCGCGGAAGAGATGCGTCCCATCAAGACAGAGCCTGGGCTCTCATCCCACTATGGGCACGGCAGCTCCCTGTCGCAGGTACTGCTCGTTGGGGGGTAGACTCCAGGCAGCCAGGCTCCCGCCCGAGGTGAGGAGCTGTCTGCACGAGGATATGTTTCAGCACATCTGATCAAGCTACAGCGATTTGGACACACGACCGTGATGCACGCGTTTAGCAGTTCCTCTGTGCCAGGACCCGTGTGCTGGCACACAGCATTGCTACAACCGGAATCAGAGTGCGGCCGCTGTGTGGGAGGCAGAGCGGGGCTTTCTAGGCCAGTCTGTCTCCTAAGTAAGGGTGGCTTGACCTTGGCCTTGAGGGTGGGTAGATCTTAACAGGAGGAAGGGGAGGAGGAGGCCCCTCCTGGCGTGGGCAAAGGTGTAGAAGCTGCAGAGGGCAGGGCGGGCGGGCTGGGGTTGGTGAGGAGGTCACAGGCAGGATGCCATTGTCACGAGGGTTGGCTGCGGGTCCAGCTTCACATGTGTGTCCAGAAGACGGGCCAGCAGGACCCTCGTTTCCCTCTGTCAGATACAATGGCAATCCTGCTCCTCTAGCCCCTTCCCTGTGTGGTTCCCCCATCCGGGATCAGGATGCCCCCAAGCTTGGTCACGGTCTCCCACTAACTCTGATCTCTTCTCCGCCTGTACTTGAGGCGGGCGAGTCCTAAGGAGCCTTCTGCCGTCAGGGTGAAGAGAAGCTGGTGCCCTGGGGCCAGGAGAGCCAGGAGCCCCTTCTGGGCGGGGGGCGGGGAGGGGATGGCTTCCTTCTGAAAATGGAGATTGATGGTGAAAAGACTGTAGAAAATGCCTCGTGTGACCGTCAGAGGCGGTCTGGTTTCTGAGAAACCAGAATAGTCACGAAGCTACTGGGTCAGTGCTCAGAAGCAGCTGACGAGTCACGCAGACCCCCTGTATCCCATAGCACACAGGGGTCAGGGGGACAGAGTGCTGCCTCTCCTGCCCTTCTCCTTTGGCCCTGTCCTCTCGTCCCCTTCCTGGGGTGGGAGCCAGCCTGGGCACAGCTGTGGAATGGGGCTCCCCTCTCCAGCCCAGACCCCCTCCTGAGCCCCAGGAGGGATCCCATTGACCACATCTTATTACTTTCAGACGTTCTCGGTCAGCGCGATGTCCGGCCACGGGTCCTCCATCCACCCAGTCCTCTCGGCCCTGAAGCTCTCTCCGCAAGGTTATGCGTCTTCTGTCAACCAGTCACCGCAGGCCAGCTCCAAGCAGGACCCTTGGAACAGCCTGGCCTTGGCTGACAGTCACGGGGACATAATCACTGCATAATGTCACCTCCTTCCCTCCTTGGATTCCTGCATGGACTTGGGACTCGGAGGACAGCAGAGATGAGGCTCTGGGCTCCCGGGGGCCGGCCTGCTCTGTCTGGGAATGACTCCAGACAACAACTGGGAAGAAACTTGAAGTCAATGATTTGGTTAGGGGAGGGGGCGCTGGATTTTATTGGATAGCTTTGCAAGGTGGGGGACTGGAGACAGCGCAGACTCTGATCTGGAAGAGCCCCCACCCTTCGCCAGATCACACTTAAGCCCCTTCCACGGAGTTGCAGACTCTTTCTCATTTTCTGCCTCACCACCCCTGACAAGAGACGAGATGTCCTTCTCCCTTGTCTTTCCACCGCTGTGGCCCGAAATGGTGGTTTTTGCACGGTGTTCCCAGCACGGGGGATCCGAGGGCAGGGTGCCGGGGCCCCTGCTCCAGCCTGAATCAGGGTATCTGATGGACGTGTGTTTGGACGCCTTGGCCCCTCGGCGGGTCCTGCCCTCGCCCAACACTCCCCTTCCGGCTCGGCACACCTGCATCCCTCATACTGAATCTTGACTCCAGAAACACGGGGTAGGGCCAGTGTTACCGCATGCTCCGTGGGGAGATGGAGGAGGGGCCGCTTCTCCCACCGCAGAGTGGCTTCGGCAAACTCGCAATCTGGCAACTTTGCCTCCCACGCAAGTTCCTTCCGCGGCTAAAATCGCTCCTCCTCTTCATCCCCGAGGCCTTTGAAAATAAGCGCCCCTCCACTGCTCTCGGTGATTCAGCTCTGCCCGCAGCCTGAACACGTCCCCAAATCCTTCTTCCACCCCATCACGCTCAGGGGGGTCCTGAGTAAGAACAAAAACGGTTCTGGTGCTGAAGCAAGTTTGACTAGCATTCATCCAAGACTTGAGATCTTTCTGGAGAGGATGTCTAGTGGACACCATCGCCGGGCCTGGAGCTGCGCTGCGCGGGGCGGGGTTGTCAGCCTGGAATTTGCGCATGCGCCGTGGTTCCGCGGAGACGCGTCTGTTGCCGGGACTGACGACCGAGGGCATCCGAGGGGCACAGCTCCTGCACCCACGTCCTTTCTCCAGCAGCAGTCTTTTGTCCAGGAGGCCAAATGCTAGGGGCTTCTCAACATAATTTCAAACCAACACTACACAACTCATGGAAGAGACGACGAGTGATGAGAAGACACCGGGCGGGCGGCCGGGGGCGGGGTGCCCTCCCACTCTCGCGGGCTGGGAATCGGCCTCCTCTCCACGTTGCTGTCGCTGCCCGTGGCCCTGGGCTCACGAAGACGCTTCCTTCCGTGTCCTGGCTGCCAACAGAATGTAGCTGACTGGCCTTCCTCTGTGCTACTCCAAACACCCAGCCCCCAGCCCAAATCCTCCTGGCGGTAGCAGAGAGTATCTTTAAACCCAGGTTCTGTTTTAATCATTTACATCGCTTTCTTCTAAGAAAGCCGCCTTCATATACCTTCCTTAATCCACAAACCTGCTAACGTTGTCTTAAGGTGAAATGGTTGTAAAATCAGTATTTAACTAATAAATTTATCTGTATTCCTCTTCCCCTTCTCCTCCTCCCTCTGAGGTCTTTGCTGGGAGGTTCGCTGCTGCCCTTTGCAAGGCGGCCCTGAGCCACTGAGGCCCCTTTGCTGATCCGCTCACAGGCTGCGTCTGAATCGCTTCTCCCTTCATTCCTTTCGGCAGTTGGCCGAGGCTTCCTCTGTGTGTGTCGGGGGCTAGTGACAAGGACTAGCTTGTGACCTTGACAGGTAACCTCTAGGCTTGCTTTCCTAGGAGAGGGTTGGACCAGCCCTTAACTAAATTTCCTGTGGCCCAGAAGTTGCCTCCCAACGAAGGGGGCATTTTTAGACCTCCCCTCGGGTACACCAGTGGCTGGAGCATGAGGCAGAGCTGCAGGGCAGTGGTCTCTCCAGCCCTCCTGGTTTGAGACGTGCACTAGACGTGCTCTGTCATCTCCTACTTTCTGGTTTGATCCAAACAAGCCCCTGGAGGAGGTTAGTGGTGCTCCACGCCAGTGGCACAGAAGGTGAAAATTTCTCCTTTGTCCATTTTGTCTTCACTTTCTTAGTCTACAGAATTGCTTAATTGCTTCATCTTAAAAGTGAGATAGGGTTGAGGGGAGCGGCCCTAAGGCCTGGGGAACGGAACCCAGACAGGCAAATCCACCCCCACTGAGAATTGTTGGCAGTAGCTTCCTGCCGCTCAGCTGGCTTATGCCAAACCCAGTGGGCAACTGGCGGCCTTTGACCTTTCACAACACCCTTGTTATTTTTGAGCAGGTAAGGGAAAAAAAAACTCTAACAACCATTCTTCTATGTAAAATCGGAAAAGCTTTTTAATTGGCTGAGAAATAGCCAAAGCTACTAAATAAACACAGCTACCATCCAAAGGGATGAGTAACCGATAACTCTAGCAAAGAATAACAAAAGAGATTCAAAACCAAAAATAAAACCTACCAGGATTTATGTTGGCCTTGGGGAGGACGTGTTTTCTGATGATGAAGTCTTTGCTGAGAACATTTTTGCCACTTCCCTTCAGGAATGGTTTTCAGAAATATATATATATATATACACACACACACACACACACACACACACACTACCAGAAGATTGACCTCATTCCTTATATAATGATAACTTATGCTTCACTCCAGATGGTAAATCCAGCTTGATTCAGCCTCCTTGCTCACCAGACTTGGTTGCTTTCCCAAATCGACGCATCCTCAGAGTAAGTCAAGTTGCTACCAATCAGGATACTCAAAAGGATGCAATTCCCAGATGGTTGGGAAGTGGCTGGAGGTGGGGGGGTAGGGGGCCAGCAACGAGAAATGTCTGGCCTAATACGGTGAGTGCAGCAGCCAGTGGCATGTGTTCGGGCTCAGACATCCCTCACATTCCCTTTCGGGCTCACCTCTCACTATGACAAAGATTCTGAAGCACAGGTCAAATCATTTTAACAGTCAAGAGCATTAATCCTTAATATTTGACTTTTGGATGCCTTTAGGGGGTGAGTAGTAGCAGATTTAGCCATGATTATGTTTGGCTTGGGTTGACAGTAGTGAAAATAAGTTTATATTCACTGAACATGCATCAGAGGGAGCTGGGCTGGAGTTTATTTGAAGTGCCCCCCTTTCCGAGCCCGCAGAACTTACTGACTTGGATACTAGCGCATGAGAAACAGCCACTTGGAAAGCTGCTTTTGGAGTGGAGGTGACGGGTTTTCAGTTTTTTAAATCATTTTCTGACATTGGAAACTACTCTTCAGATTGCATCCTTACCTTGCTTGAAGCTGGAACACAAACACGCCACCATCCTTACCAACACAGATATGTATCTTCCCAGAACCAAGGACCAGCCTCAAAGCTTCCAGGTTTAGCCTGGGAAGTGGAATCCATGCTCCTGAGGGCTCCCTGCCCTGGACACTGTTGCTTTCTGTTCAGTTCCTTAGCCTCCTGGGAGCACTGCTGCTCTACTTCACCCTGGCTCCTGTGCAATTTTTATCTCCCCTCCAATAGCTGCAGCTGTAACATTTGCAAAAAGACTTCAATAACAAGGAGAACTAAATAATCCAAGCAAGAATGGCATTAAAACAGACCTAGTTTCTCAAAGTCCAGTTTTCTTTAGGTCTGTGCATGACTAGATCACTGGTTGAAGCCTGGGGGATTGTGGGTTTAGTTTTACAGAAAGAGGCGATCATACACAGCCGTGCTCTGGGCTAACAGGAACAGTGGAACCAGGAAAAGCCTGCAAGGTACCGGGTGGTACTCTTGAGCCCCAGCTTAGCAGCGGTGGCAGGCCCTGTGCGAGGGGGTTTTCAGACAGACGCAAAGAGGGAGCTTCTCTTGAGTGAAGGGTGATACGTGAGATCCCCACACCCCGTCACGCACACACTCCATCCCCTCCCTGCTCTGCGGTGACTGCCTTCTGTCCTACAGCTGTGGTGGCCTCGCTTCACCTGAGAAATAAACATGTGACTGCGTAGGTTTTTAACCAGATGTACTTGAAGTTCAAATCACTGGGCAGTCTGGAAGTTCCAAATCAGTGAATCTCTGATTGCAGGACTTAATTCAGATGAAGTTCACTACTAGTAAATGATACTAGTGAACACTACCAGTAGACCCCTGTTACAACCAAGATATTGTAGTCTCTTGTGCCACTGCTTCTTTAAGATAGATTTACTCAGATGAATTGGGTTGTAATTAGACATGTGAAATATTTAGCTCTATCATTCCTCCTCTGTCCTTTTCCTTTAGAACTCATGAAAATAAAAAATTGAAAAGATCCGTTATTTCTAGGGTTCTTGATTCTCTTAAGACTTTGGGGCTGGGCTGGGAAACAAAAGAGGTAAGACTGAAATAACAGAATCCTAAACAGACCTTTGACCAGGACTCTGCTGAACAAAGCAATGAGTGATACCAGCTAATGTGCTTTACAGTGTAAAGCCATCGCTTTGTACTTAGTCAGAGAATCCCCCAGACTTCTCTGGAGTGGTATGGGCTGGACACACTTTCAGGAAGTCTTCCTGTCCCCCCACCCCTTAACATCCTTGCAGGTTTCCTTAATGTGGCCTCCAGCCTTACCATAGCCAAAGTTCCCCCTTTACCCCACCCTACGTTTTGAAATTATTTTGTCTACATAATTACTTGGGCTTTTCTCACTTTTTATAGATCAAAACCCAAACTGCATATAAATTACACTTCAGTTTTTTAAAGAACAGAAAGCATAACTGCTCATCTCTGCTGACAAGTACTACCAGATAGTCCGTAACACTAAGCTGATTGAATTCCCGTCTTAGGCAGAGATGCCCGATTTAGGTTGCTCTGCACTCTTGGTATGGCTATCGGATAGATGGTTACCTTGGGGCTTTTTTGACTATTTGAAAATGGCTCATGGGGTCCTATTGGGTGAATCTCTGGGTCCCGGGGGCTCTCGGAGGGGACCACTATCATACAAGCACTTCCTGGAACAGATTCTGTACCCATTTCCCCCTGTGCTTCTGCTTCCTTGAAAAGTAAGGGGAGGGACTTCCCTGGCGGTCCAGTGGTTAGGACTCCACACTTTCACTGCCAAGGACGCGGATTCAATCCCTGGTCGGGGAGCTAAGATCCCACAAGCTGTGTGGCACGGCCAAAAAAAAGAAAGAAAAGAAAAGTAAGGGAGGAGCCCACCAGAAAGAGCTAGACACGGGATTCTGAGGTTTCAGAATTCTAGCCCAGGTTTGGCCAGTGTCTAGCTGTGTGACTCTGGGCATTTCACCAAACTGCTCTTCACCTCAGCAGCTTCATCTGCAAATGTTTTGGAGGAGGGAATCTTTAAGTTCTCTTTAAGCTCTAAGCAGTTGTGAGAGCAGAAATAATCCGAAATTATCCTTGCCATATCTGGTATCACGCAGGGAGCACAAGTCCCATGCTGGTTGGTGTCATGCTGTGAGGATGGTCAGGAAAAGACATGAAGAAATTCATCCCTGAGGTCACACTGAACTTGATACAGCATCCAGCACTTTGGACCAGCAGCTCTGAAACCACAAGTTGAGCAAAGTGGCTCATCTCTCTGAGTCTTACATACTCTTGTTGGTACAGATGAAATCTCAGGGCCCCAAGATTTGAAAATACTCCCTCTGGAGACTCCGGTTGGATGTTCTCCAAGCGGAAAATAGTACCTTTACTGTGACCCAAGTAATGAGGTTTAAAAATGTTTCAGAAGCTTTTCATCCAAATGAGCATTGCCTCTCAAAGTAGCTGCCTTGGAAACTACTAATTCCACTGTTTCAGCCACGGTGAAAACACAGGTTGGAACTCCCTTTAGAGGCTCTCCAGACCTGCTCAGATCAGCCTAAAAGAACCAAGCTTATTGCTTCTCAGCCACAAACAGAATTTGGGGGTCCCAAATAGAATTACATCACTTGACCAATTTTTGTCACCTGTCCTGATCCTAAACGCCCCCTTCAAAGAATAGAAATTTGCCATCATGAAGAGCTAGTGAAGAAAGGACTGTAGGCTCTGGAAGCTGATTTCAGTGGAGGAAGCAGATCGATGGGAAACATTTTCAGGTTTTTTACCACTGTCACACTGATGGGGACAGCATGCCATGCTGTAGTTGTGCTGTGTTTTCTTACGTCCATCAAATGACCTTGGTGTCTTCCCTCACTACCCAGCCGCGTTGATGAGGTTTGAGAGGCGCTGCAGGTTATGGGACCGGAACAGGGTCCTGCTTGGAGAATGCTTGAAGAAAGTCATTTCTGCAATTTGGGGCAGTGTTTTTTTTTTAAATTTTTGGAGTCCCAGACCTCTCTGAAAATGTAACAAAATCCATGACCACTTTCCTAGAAAGGTACACATATATGAGTGGTACACATACACCATTCACAATTTCAGGGGTTCTATGAACTCTGGAAACTTCTCCATATTCCCCAGGTTAAGAACGCCTACACTCAGGCTCCAGTTTAGTCCAGGGCTGCAAGGCTGTGTTGGTCGAACTGACCAGGTCAGCTCCATCTGACCAGGGTGTCCTGGTACTTGGGACCCAGAGCAAACCTTGCCATTTAGCTATGAAGTAAAGCAGTGGGACAGTCCCAGGGCAGTTGTCAAGGCCCTAGGCCCCCCTGGAGGTCCTGCAGCCTAAAATCTAGCAGTATGCACAGGGACAGGGCTGAAGAATTCCTGGTAGCCCCTTCCTTACAGGAGGGTTTGGGCCTGGAGTCTGTGGGAGTACAGGAGGGGTTACAGGACACGAGCTGCTAAGGACTGGGGGTAGTATTGCTGAGGTTTCCTTCCTCAGCTGACCAGAGCAAGTCGAATTGAAGGGAAATAACCCCACTAGGAAAAAGGATGCCTGGATTGGGAGGCCATGCCTGACTCATTTACAGATCATGAGGGGTCTCAGAGATCATCGGGTCCAAACCCTCTTGTCCCACCATCGTCGAGGGAAATTGCCCAAGGCCACAGAGCTGGCATGAGGAAGAGGGGCACTTACTGAGCACCTACCCTCACTAAGGAGGCCGAGACTGGCCTAAAGATACCTCCCTTGCAGTTAATGCGCTCACCATTTGGGGGCGCCGGCGTTCTCTTCCTTGTGGCCTCCACAATGCAACAGCCTGATTTTCAAACATTCAATCTGAGACCACCCCGGAAACTGTGCTAAAAAAAGTACCTGCCACTTACCAAGCACTCCTGCAAATCAGCTGCGCTAGTAAGTAGCATTATACATCCATTAAAACTTTCCTGTATCCTCACAACCACGTTTTGCACACGAAGGAGATACAGCCCATGGATTTTAAGTAGCTCCCTTAGGCCACAGAACTAGTACATGCAGAACCAGGATTCAAACCTGACTGCAGAATCTGAGCTTTAACACCGCCCCCCTGCCTCTCCCAAAGAGTGGAAACCTAAAAGCTGAAAACCCCACACAACCTGGGGTCCCACTCCAAGCTGAAGTCTTTCAACGTCTTTCTAGAAGTTGGGGAGAATCCTTGGTTCCGAATTCTCCAATTTAGACATGATGAAAGAAGGCCCTAGAACCACTGGAAAATAGGGCTCACCGTCCACAGTCACACGTCCAAAAAAGAGGGGCAACTGGAATGGACCCGGGAGCCTCACTCTCAGCTCTCCAGGCTCCCCAGGTGTTCCTAGAGACACATGAAACCTCCTCCATGTGGTTCAGGACCCCAAGCTCATTCATTGGCAGTCAGATTCCTCACCACATCGTACTGCTTTTCTCCATCACATCCTTTCTTGCTTTAATCGATTTTCATGGTCATTGGAACTTTAATCCTGTTTAAGATGTCACCGGCACAAAGGGAGAGGGAGAAATTGGCTCCACGGCCCTTAGAAAACTGGGTGCTGCCCCCCGTAGTGCTGAGGCCCAGGCTCCTGTGGGCTTTGAGGTTGCCCCCCGTCCCCGTCCAGGACGCAACTAATAATAACTAAGAACATATTGATCTATTGCTACATGTCAGGCTAAGTGCTAAGAGATTTAGGTGAATCATCTCAGTAAATCCCACCATAACCCAGTGAGGTAGGCATTTCACTGCATTTTACAGACGAATAAACTAAGGTATGGAAAGGTTAAATTACTCGCCCAGCTCTGCGCACTAAGCGGTGGGATTTGGACTCAGGTAGTCTGAGGCAGCAACAGTGTTCTTCACTGCTATCCTGTAGAGTTGCGCTTCTGGAAGCTTGCCCTTCTCCAGGCAGATTCCCCAGCTCTATTGTCTTAGTATGGTGATTGCATACCTTTGCACCGCACTTTACAGTTTATGAGTTTCGTATCTAAGACCTCATTTAGCCATTCATTCAAAGAATATTTACTAAGTGCCCACCAACTGCCAACCACTGTGCTCCTAAGTCCTCGCTGCTCCACCTTGTGTCCCTGGACCTCCAGCAGCAGCAGCATCCGTGAGCTTGTGGGAAAAAGGCAAAATCTTGGGCCCTGCTACAAACCTTGCTTTGTGATATTTCCATAATAACACCATGAAATAGCTATCCCACTTCATGCTGAATAGATTCAGAGGTACTGTGACTTGCTTGTCTCCCCATAACTACTATTGAGGCAATATATGTAAGGAGCTTAGAACAGTGCATGTGCTCAGCAAACAACAGCTATGCTGTAAATGACAGAGGTAAGCTGTGAACCACGTGGTTGCTCAACTCTACAACCCTTCGGCCTCAGAAGAGCTCTCTTAGGCACCAGGCATTCAGTCCAAGAGGTGAGGCAAGGACTGTGTCTCTGGCTTCCTTCCCAGCTCAGCCAGAGTCTACAGAATGGGGAGTTAGGGGCTCCAGAAGCTACGGTTAGGGTGTGCTTGATCCTATAGCAGGTGGCATCCTGTGGTGGGTATGTTGTTCCCAGAAGACGCCAGGTACAGAAAGAGGGAGACCAGAAGGCCCAGGGGGGATGGAAACACCATCCCCTCAAACCTCATCCCCCCTCCAGGGCTCCTCTGTGCTGAGCACCCTCAGCACACAGACCTTCCAGCCTTCCTCTCCTCACTTCCTGCCCTAGCCGGTTCAGTAGAAGGGCCACCCGTACTGCTCTGGCTGGATCAGCAGGACACAACCTGGGGAGGGGCTGGGCCTGTCTCCCTGTGCTGGCCAAGACCTCCCCAGGGCCCACTCAGCTAGGTCCCTGGTGCCTGCCATCCGGATCAGTTTCCCCAAACTTCCCTGCTGACTTCTTGGAAAGTGCTGGCTCCCCATCCTCTTTGGAGAATTAACAACAATGGAACATTCTTATTTTAAAATAGTCTACTATTTTATCTTTTTTATTGTCTGGAAAAATTTAATATTACCTTTAAAGCAAAATTTGCTTATGGTAAAAATTCAAATAATAATATTCAAATCATATAAAGTAAAAAAAAAAAAAAAAATCCCACCCTTTAAAAACTTCATGAGATTTCTTGACAACCTGTTTCCTTTTCACAATTACCTCGCCGGGCTCGGAGGCCCAGCAAAACCAAAGGCTTGCCTTTGCCTGACCACCTAAAGTTCTCCTATTCAGCAACTTAATTTTCTCTATCTTCGTAAGACAATAAACGTTCCAAACGCGTTTGCTTCTTCCCCCGCATCTGCTCAGACTCACTCTCTCTCCACCCTTTAGCCGCGACACTCGGCATTGGCCCAGCGCCCAGCGACCTCCTTAGGGGAGGAGCTCCGCACCTTCACCAGCTCTCCCAAGGGCGAGACCCCCCCCGCTCCCGCCTCCCAGGACAGAGCCCCGCACCTGTTTGGACAACGAAATCCCGAACCCCACCCACGCAGGGCGAGCCCCGCCTCCTACGCTCACCGGGGGGCGGAGCCCCGAGCTACCCCACCCCCTCGAGGGAGGAGCCTCGCTCTACCCACTCCCCAACTCCAGTGAGAGGTCTGCTTCTCCCGCCCGCCTACGACAGAGTCAAGCGCGCACCCCGGGAGCAACCCGCGCGCACACGGGGCGCCGGGTGTTCCACGGCCCGCGCGGAGGCGGTCTGCGGGCCTCGCAGGCGCTGGGGTCCCGGCGTCTGCGGGCGGGGAGCCGGTAAGTCCCGCCACGAGTCCCGCTGCGGCGTCGCGGAACGTGCGCGGGTGGGGAGGGGGCGGAGCGGCGCGTCCTTGGCTGTAACGGGTCCACCTACCCCGTCGGAAATGCAGGGCTTTCCCCAGCTTTACCCTCGTCACCTTGTTACCGGCGTGAAAACTCAGTTACCGAACCTTTTAGAAGCGTCCCTCATAGAAACCCGCAGCCCGGGTTGAATTTTTCTTTCTTTTTTGGCTGTTTACCACTTTTTAACATTTCCCCCCCCCCCGACCGAGGCTACTGCAGTGACCGTCAGTCCCGTCTCTGCGCCCGCTTCTCCCCCGCATCACCCCGAGAAGGCGCTGGGCAAAGCAGGCATTTTAGACTCTCCCGGGGGCGGCGGTGACGCCCTCTCCTCTGTCAGTGTGGTCCGCTAGCCAGCCCCTTACCCCGTTAACCCTTGGTTAACGAGGGACCTGTGTCCCTTCGGCTTCTTATCTTTTAAGGCTGTGGTAGAGGCAGCTCGCTGCCCAGCTTTCCATCTCCATAAATAAACCCGAGAAAGAAACATGCCCTTGTGTTGAAAGATTTTAAGCATCAGAGGCATTTCAGAGGGGAGCTTTTCCAGAAGCTTCCACGGTTGGAGAGACCAGGGCGCAGAGCTGGTAGAGGTTCAGGTCGGCTGCACTGTGGCCGGTCTTCCTGCAGCCCCGCAGTTTTGTCAGGAGAGCCTCTCGAGTGACTTGAAGGTCTGATTAGGGGCAATTGTACTACATTTTAGTGAGTTTAAAGCACCATCAAATTAAAAATACATATTATGGAATGTGCTGCTAATTAAACTCTGAGAAAGCATGGACTGTAAGAGGCACCGCCATTTCAGAGATTTTAAAATATTACTTAAAATTATTGAAATGCAGTAGCTACCACTGTGCCAGGAAACTGCTTAGTTCTTTGGGTTTTCATCATAACTTGCAGTCTTGTGCAGGTAAGGAAACAGGTGGATAAGTAGGGTAAGGGTGGGGGGAATGCCTTCTGTGTCTTAGAAGCTGGGGTGCCGAGCGCTCAGGCCCAAACATATGAATGCCTCCCGCACAAGCTCGCAGTGAACTTGGATGATTTGGGCAGGAAGAGGTGGGGGTCACAGGTCACCCTACATCACGGTTAAAATGGAGCCCCAGCTGTTTCTCAGTTACCAGGGATAATCTTCTCTAGGTAAGCCGGATGTGGCGTCTCCCTGATCTGACCTGACATGACCCTGTGTCTGCACCTGTCATGATTCTGAGCCCTGCATTGTTGTCACATACGCAGTGCTGCTACTAGCAGGGTGATCCTGGCAGGGCTGGATCTGCGTCTGTGTCTGTGTCCCTTACAGCCTTCTCTACCTCGACCATCTCTCCACTGAAAGAGGGGAGATAAAGCAGCAGCAGTGGGCTGGAATGATTGGTTTGGGGAGGCAGAAGGAGGACAGAGAAAGCCTGGAGATGAGTTAGGACCACAGTCCAGGAAACAAGTAACAAGGGTGGGCTCCCGTCTAGGCTGCCACAGGATCAAAGCGGAGGGCGCTTGTGGTGTGATGCCTGGCACACTGTTGGTGCTGCCTGAAGAAAGGCGAGAGGGGCTGGGATGGGGCAACGGTCCTCAGGAAGCTGGCTCACAGCCTGCTGCACCGGGGCTTTCTCTTTGATCCGACCCCCCCCTTCCCAGCACATTGCCTTTTTGGCCATATATGCTCTTAAAGTTGATGGCGAAAATACCCCAAAAAACGGCTGTGTGGAGCTTGGCACCCATCAGAAGTGCTAGAGAAACCAGCTAAGTCAGTGGCCTCTTTTCCACATTTCTGCCTGCAGGGATGCCGGAGGGGCCGTCTGTGAGGAAGTTTCACCATCTGGTCTCCCCCTTCGTGGGGCAGCAGGTGGTCAAGACAGGGGGCAGCAGTAAGAAGCTGAACCCTGCGGGCTTCCAGTCCCTGTGGCTGCAGGACACCCAGGTGAGTTCGTCATCTTCTGACGGGCTCGTTCCACAGCTCACCCCAGCGGGCCGACTCCATCAGCACACCCTGTACCGCCCCTAAATTTATCTCAAGACTTTTCATGCTGTCACTTCCTGGAGCCTGAGGCGACCATGCTGGGAGTCCACGCAGCTCCCCTTCTGACATTTCTCAGCCTCGGGTGAGCAGCACAGTGGCCTGTGGAACTATAAAAAATACATGTGCACGAGCTGGGTATTCACATTCAGCGTCTGGAGTGGTGGTGATGACTCCGACAGACTGATGTGCACCTTGTTTGGAAACCGTGTTTAATTCTGTGGGGCCAGCAAGGAGGTGAGGAAAGAGCATAGCCTTCTGATCTGGGTTTCAGCCTGACTCATCTTTGCTTTGAGCATGAGTCAGAATTCCCTAAGGCAGCAGTCCCCAACCTTTTTGCCACCAGGAACCAGTTTCCTGGAAGACAGTTTTTCCACGGATGGCGGGGGCGGTGGGGTGGGGGGGATGCTTCAGGCGGTAATGTGAGCGATGGGGAGCTGCAGATGAAGCTTCGCTTGCTCTTCCGCCCGCCGCTCCTCTCCTGCTGTGCGGCCCGGTTCCTAACAGGCCGCGGCCCGGCCCGGTACCGGGGTTAGGGGACCCCTGCCCTAAGGGGCTCGCAGAGCTCTTTGTGGTCTGACTCATGCCTCCCTCTCTGGCCTGCAGTTCACCCTGCCCCAGATCTCTCTCCAATCATTTTGAACTATCTAGAGCTCCTCTCACAGTCCTTCATGGTGATGTGCTGCTCCCCTGTGCGGGCAGGTCTTCCTTTTTCTCCCAGCTCCACCCCCATTCCTGTCCCTTCATGTTACCATGGTAATTCCTGGTCTCCTTCTGGATTCAGCCTTGCCATCACATCCTCTGAGAAGCCTGCCTTGCCTGCTCTGAGTTGGAGAAGAGACTCTGCTGTGCTTCCCGGGCACCCTGTACCTCTTGCTGGATGCTCACTGCTGAATTTGTCCTGCCTGTTGAGTGGAGGAGACAAGTAAACAGGGCGCAATATTGTATTCCTGGCACCTAACTGAGTGCCCGGCACTTAGGAGGCATTTGGTAATTGGCGGTAGAAAAACCAAGGGTTTCTGCTGCTTCTTAGCTGTGTGTTTCTAAGCAAGTTACATAACCTCTTAGCTCTAGTGTCTGCTAGAGTTGTAAAATGGGGATAAACACCTACCAGTTAAAATGGTTGAATTAAGCCGACTTTATGCCTGGCACATAATAGGTGCTCACTAAATACTAGTTCTCTGTCTTCCACCTTGCCCTTCTCTCACACACAGACACACACACACACACACATGCACACACACACGCACACACACCTGGCACATAATAGGTGGTCAGTAAATACTAGTTCTCTGTCTTCCACCTTGCCCTTCTCACACAGACACACACACACACGCACATACACACGCGCACACACACACACACACACACACACACACACACACACACACACCCCTGGCACATAATAGGTGCTCAGTAAATACTAGTTTTCTGTCTTCCACCTTGCCCTTCTCACTCACACACACACACACACACACACACACACACAGGCTATAAAACCATTCTTGGTTACAACTTGAAGAGGTCTGGAAGAGGTCTGCTACACCTTCATGTGTGTTTTCTGCATTTGGAGGTGGGGCTCAGGGAGGGGGAGCGGTTAGCCCAAGCCGACATAGCTAGCAAGGGACAGAGACTGGAGCACAGGCCCCCTGACCTCCAGGTTTGTGCTGTTCCCGTGAGAGCACCTGGACTCTTTGTCCAGACTGTCCTGCAGAGTTTGCAGGACAGGATTAATGTCCCTTTGCCTCTGGGTCCCAGTGGCCGGGATCTTAGCACCTGCCTTCACAGAGCTGGCTTGCAGAAAATATTTACTCAATAGCTGAGTGGACAGAAGAATGTGAGGCAAGGGAGCCTTGAGATGGATCTGGGCACTGGTTTCCCAGTAACTCAAGGCTGGCGTCAGTGTTGGGAGCCCAGAAGCCTAAGGGAGGTGGCCTTGGGGAGCTGCCTGGCATTTGGGTCCCCATCAGTGGGCTCCCTTTCTGTTCCTCTGTCCGTGGGTCCTATTCTCAGGATCTGAGAGTTGAATTTGGAAGTTTAGACCTGTGTCCCTAAATGGGAAGCTGTCAGGTAGCAATGAATGGAGGAAGGGAGCGTGTGATTAAGGCCCAGCTGGGGGCCTCGACATAGAAGAGGTCCTGTGGCCTGGAGAAAAAGCCTTCATGATGGAGATGGGACTTGAGTTGGACCTTGAAGGATGGAGGACTTAAGTGGGTCAAAAGGAGAAGAAAGGGCATTTCAGGTTTGAGAATCAGTTACAGATTCAAACATGGAGGTGGAATGAGCAGGGTGGGCTCGTGAGGCAGAGGAAAATTGGCTCCACTCTGTGCCGGCTGTTTATCTGGCATGGCCCTTCACTGTCCTTCCTTATAAGCTCTCCAGTTTCTGTGTCAGGAATTATGTATAATTGCTCATAACAGACTCAGAAGAGTGGCTTATACAAGACAGGAGGTTTTTTTCCCCCTTCCCATAATGGGAAGTCCAGAGGAGGCGGTCCAGGGTGGTGTAGGAGTGAGGCAAGATCACTGGGGCCCAAGCTCCTGCTCTTTTCTCCCTGGGGTCTAGCCCTCATCCTCATGATGATGATGATAACATGGCAGCTGGGATTCCAGCCATTACATCCACATTCCAGGCAGGAAGAAAAGGCAGGAGAGAGCTGGAAACTGGTTCATCCATTTTAAAGAGATTTCCTGGAAACCACATTTGACCATTCCTGCACAATCTCACTGGCTTCCCCATCTGTAAGGGAGGCTGGGAGACGTAGGTTTTTAGCTGAGTATGTTGACGTTCCTGTAAATCAGTAGATTTGTTGGTAGGGAGAAGGGGAGAGAGGGATATTGGGAGGCAGCCGGCAGTCTCTCCACACTTGGTCCCATATCATCTTCTCTTTTGTTTTAGCCTGTCATTTTGCAGAGCACACACTCCAGAGCTGCCTAAGAAAGCATTAGGGGTGGGAGGGAAATATTGAGTCCTTTCCGCCTGTTAATGTTTCTGTCCCATCCTAGTCTGGGTGGGTGGGACATCTGGAGATCAAATCCCACTGTATACTTAGACTTTATATCAGTCCTCCAATTAAAAAATATGTACAGCTTTGTTGAGGTGTAATTCACATCACATCCAGTTCACCCATTTCAAGTGTACAATTCAGTTTCTTGACACAGAGTTGTGCAACCATCACCATCATCAACTTCAGAACATTTCGTCACCCCCAAAAGAAGCCTTGTGCCCATTAGTCCTTTCCCTTTCACCCCAACTCTCCACCCCCAGCCCTAAGCGACCATTTTACTCTCTTTTCTATCCTACAGATTTGCCTTTGGGGGGGCATTTCACATACTTGGAGTCATGCTATGTGTGACTGGCTTCTCTTGCTGAGCATAATGTTTCGTAGGTTCATCCCTGTTGCAACCTGTGTCAGAACTTCATTCCTTTTAAATCCTGAATTCCCTGAGGGAAGGAGCAGAGACTCACTCATCTGTGTGACCCTCAGCACCTAGCACACTGTCTGGCACGTTGCATAAACCCAGTTAGCAGTTAGAACTGAACTATCCATAGCGTCAGAGGAATTTAAAAGAGGGACGGCGGAAATTGCCACTGTTGGGAAGGGTGCAAGGGTCTCCTGACCTAGGCCTTTTGACCTGGTAAATGTTTTGACCTTGAGGGTCATCTGACAGATATTTTCATCAGCCTTATTCCAGCGTGGGTGAGTTGCACCGAGAAAGTGTTGGCTGGAGCAGATTCTCTTATGCCCGCTTAATTCCTTGCCCGGGTTTTTATGTGAGCTCAGTTAAGCCATTTCTGATGTGTGGCGTCAAACAACTGTGCTCAGATTTGCAGTTAAGCTATTCTGGAATTATTTAGAAAGATAATGCCCTCTTTGGGGGAGAGGCCTTCAAAAGACTGCTCCAGTGGTTAACTTTTATACTAATTGACAAATTGGAGATCTCGTCAGAACTGTGATCTTTAAGTACGTACCTTTGGGGGTCAAAATATCACAGGCAGTTCCATTATGAATGCCAGATGTTTTGGGTTTAATTCTTGGAAAGACTGCCTGAATTTCGGGTCTTGCAGAACAGGCTTATCCTGGAATCGGGCCATGTACACATTACCTGCCAGGACTAGCAATATGGAGATAGAATACTCAGCAGCTGGAACATTCTTTTACACACATTTTCTGTTTTCATTTTCTTCTACTGCAATCGTGTTGATCGTCATTTTTGATTGTGAGGTCTCGTGTGGCCATTCCTTCTATCAAATCCAATTTCAGGGGGACGGTGGGGGCTGCAGAATTTTACAGTGGGTCGTCTTCAGCTGCTGTCAGTTTGCGTGTGGTGTGTATGTGTAGGTATGCTGATTATTTCTAACAAAGAAAAAGTATTATGACTTGAATACAGGAATGACAATTAGTATTTACTTATTAGCTAATTCATGAAAAAATGGGGAGTATTTCCCCTCAGGTATTCTAGGGTGGCCCTGCATCTAGCGTGCATCTATTTCATTGCTGATCTGATTCTTCCACTTGCTTCTAATCACTTTGAAAACCATGTACTAAGTGCCCACACGGCTGGAGCAAAAAGGAAAAGGCAAGTCCCAGATATTCAAGTTGGGAAAGTTTCATGGAAGAGGCAAGAGGGGAGACATTTGCATTAGGATAAATGTCTGTATACACCTCTTCCAGTCTTCCCCGTTCTGGGTAAGACTCAGTCTGTTTTGACTGCAGTAACAGAATACCTCACACCAGGTAGCTTATAAACAACAGAAATTTATTTCTCACAGTCTGGAGCATGGAAAGTCCAAGGTCAGGGTGCCAGCAGATTCAGTGTCTGGTGAGGACCCACTTCCTGGTTTGTAGACAGCCATCTTTTTGCTGTGTCCTCATGTGGAAGAAGGGTTGAGGGAGCCCACTGAAGTCTCTTTTATAAGGGCACTAATCCCATTCAGGAGGGCTCTACCCTCATGACCTAATCACCTCCTGGAGGCCCCACCTCCAGACACCATCACACTGGGGGTTGATTTCAACACATGAATTTTGGGAGGACACAGATAAGTCTATAGCAGAGCCTTAGATCATGTTCATCTTTTTCTAGGTCCATGGAAAGAAATTATTCCTTAGATTTGATCCAGATGAAGAAGTCGTGTCCCCTGGCAATAACCCACTGTCAGAGCGTCTACAAAAAGAGTGGAAGGAAGAGGCCGGGCACCACCAGGAAGTCTCTGAGCAGTCCTCCCGGTCCCCAGGAGGAGACGATGCTGTCCCCAGTGGAGGTGATGGTCTGCGGTGTTTGTGGGGAGACACCCCTGCAGGAGGTGCTGAGAGGTGGCTGCAGGTCAGCTTTGGCTTGTTTGGCAGCGTTTGGGGGAACGAGTTCTCCAGAGCGAAGAAAGCAAACAAGAGGGGTGACTGGAGAGACCCTGTTCCAAGGTAAGGCGTGGTTGAGCAGGCCGTGGGCTGTGACTGTCGGCAGCTGTGCGGGGTCTGTGGGGTTCGCCAGGGCTCCGCTGTGCGGGCCTGGGCCGGGCTCTGCGGGCAAGCTGGGTGGTCTCCAGCAGCCTGCCGCCTAGGAGAGAGAACCCGCTCCTCTGCCCACTGAGATGGCAGGTCGACTGTGGTCTGCACCCAGAGAGGGATGGGGACCACCTGGCAGCTTAGAGAGCGGGGAGTACTTTCCCAACAAGCACAGCCCTTGAGGCTGGGAGGCCTCTGAACAACATTTTATGGCTTGACTAGTGCTCTCTGAATTTAGGGACAGAATTGCCCCAGTTTTCAGTCTGTTCATGTTGAGGAGAATATCGGTGCAGAAAACTCTATCCATGTTCAGGATTCTTTCCTTAGTGTAGATTCCCAGAGGAATCATTGCTGGTCAAAGAGAATGAACGTTCTTATTGGTAGCACTGAGTTTTTTGTGTACTTTTTATCAACTTGTAGGGGCTTTCGGACCTTGTGTGTTAACCTCTGTGATGTGTGGTGCTAGTGTTTCCAGCCTGTCTGTGTCCTTTGATGGTGTTTGTGCCTTTAGGCATTCAGGATTTTTAGTTTGTAGGTAGTGAGTGGTCAGTATTTTCCTTGATAGCTCTTAAGTTTTATCATCTTGCTAAAGAAGGCTCCTTCTACCTCCAAATCAAAATACTTTTCTAGTTTCATAATCATATATTTTTTCATGTCCAGAACTACAGTCTTTGTTTATGGTATTATGTAAGGCCAGTAAGATGCTTGGGACAATAAAAATAACTCAGATCGAGAGTTCCCTGGCAGTCCAATGGTTAGGACTTGGCGCTTCCACTGCCAAGGGCCTGGGTTTGATCCCGGGTCGGGGAGCTAAGATCCCGCAAGCCGCATGGTGAGGCCAAAAAAAGAGAGAGAAAAAAAGAAAACCTCAGACTGGCTTGAATGGTGAGGAGATTCTTTTGACTCACAGACAGTTGACCCTTGAACAACACAGGTTTGAACCGCACGGGGCCACTTACACAGGGATTTTTTCAATAGTACTTTTACATTGCTGCACGACTCACTCTGAGGTTGGTTGAATCCGTGGATACGGAACCGTGGATACAGAGGCCGGCTGCAAGTTACGTGCGCGGATTTTCAACTATTCAGAGGGTCAGTGTCCCAACCCCCAAGTTGTTCAGGGGTCAACCACATTAGAAGCTCAGAGGGAGTGCGGGCTGTGGCGTTGACGCAGGTCCAAGCCTTTGGCTTCACATTCTTGTGGTTCTCCTGACTTTGCACTTTGCCACATGTTGCTTTTGTCCTTAGACCAGCAGCAGGAGACTCCTGCAGTTCCAGGCCTTATATCCACACAAGAAAAGAGGAAGAGAGGAGAGAGGGTCATTTCTAAAGTTCAGATGAGCAAGGAGAGCTTTCCCCGAAACCCCCAGGAAACCTCTCATGGCCCCGAAGCTCGGCTCGTTGGCTGATTCCGGACCCGGTCACCAGCCGGGGCGATTGGAACGCTCTTCCACTAACAAGGCTGGTCCTGCAGGCCTTCAGATTTATTGCCACACAGTGAACTCATGTCATTCACTTATTTTTGAATCTCTTCCTGTCACGTTATAACTCCTTCCATGTTGCATATTTTGCTTTGCCTGCCCCACCCCCTTTTTTTCTTTATTAGGCTTGCCTGAGTTTTATCTACTTTGTGGGTCTTTCAAATAATTAATAGTTTTGTATACTAACCACATGGAAGATTATTTCCTAATTTTTCAAATCTTTGAGTGTTTGTGGTCATCTTTTTTGGGGTTTTTTTGTTTTAATTTTTTTTATTGGATTACGATCAGGGTGGCAGCCTGTAAATTTTCTACTTTTGGCATCAAGATTTGCAGCCAAACACATAATTGATCTTTGCTTACGTTTTGTGTACATAAATGAAGATAGAATGTTCATTAAAAGTAAAACATTCTGACAAAAACCAAACAAACAAAAAAAGAAAAACATTCTGTAAATGTTAAGAACAGGTTATTGTTTTGATAGCTCAGCTTTTCTCTGTTTTTGTTTTTTGCGGTACGCGGTCCTCTCACTGTTGTGGCCTCTCCTGTTGCGGAGCACAGGCTCCGGACGCGCAGGCTCAGCGGCCATGGCTCACGGACCCAGCCGCTCCGCGGCATGTGGGATCTTCCCGGACCGGGGCACGAACCCGTGTCCGCTGCATCGGCAGGCGGACTCTCAACCACTGCGCCACCAGGGAAGCCCTTTGCTTATTTTTTTTTGTTTAATATGCAAAACTTGGGAAGAGGATCATTGAAGTCCCCCAGGCTAGTTGTGGTTTTATAGAGTTTCTCCTTGTCTTTCGTTTTTGTTTCTGTGTTTTGCTGCCCTTGGTCCCAGGCATCAGGGTCCCTGACTCTCAAAGGTTCTTTGCAGCTTCATTATTAAACAATCCTGGACCCTGTCTCTGCCTTTAGCCCTAATTCTGCTTCTCTTTGATGTTAACAGTGCCACTCCATGTTTGGTTGGCTCACCCCCTGGTCTTTTTTCCACTTAGTTGTAGGTCTGTTTTTTCACTTATTTTAGGTATGCTTGCTATAAACAGTAAATAGCAGGCTTTTGTATCTCTTTAAACTCAGATGCAAACTCCTTGTTTTGAAATGGGGTAACTGTGCTATTTGGATTTTCTTTCATTTGTAGTTTTATTGTCCCTTGTTTTCTTTTTTCTGTTGGATTTATCACATTTCTTCCTTTTTTAAAAAATTAATTTTATTTTTGGCTGCATTGGGTCTTTGTTACTGTGTGCGGGCTTTCTCTAGTTGCAGTGAGCGGGGGCTACTACTCTTTGTTGCGATGCGTGGGCTTCTCATTGTGGTGCCTTCTCTTGTTGTGGCTCATGGGCTCTAGAGCACAGGCTCAGTAGTTGTGGCGCATGGGCTTAGTTGCTCCGCGGCATGTGGGATCTTCCCGGAACAGGGCTCGGACCTGTGTCCCCTGCGTTGGCGGGCGGATTCTTAACCACTGCGCCACCAGGGAAGTCTCTTTTCTTCCTTTTTTTTTTAAACCTCTGTTAATTTGGAAGTACTGCTATTCATCTTTATTCTTTTGGTAATAATATTATCTTTAAATGATATCTGTTTTTTTCCCTGAGTTAATAACTATCAAATTTTTAATAGTATTAAATTAATAATCTCTTCCCTTATTATTAACAATGGTATTTTGCTCACTCTCTTTCCCCCCTCCGTCTGAGATGAGACCTTTAAAATATTTCTACTTCTGTACTTTCCTGCCATTTCTACCCCATCTCTTGTGTCTGCTGAGATAGTTTAGAATTTTAGTTCCGTATTGTTAATTAACTACACTGTTAGTTATGTATAATTAAATTAATTAATATTAAAAACACACTAATATAAGTGTCTTTTTGTTCAGAGAATCCTTTCCTCACACTTGGATTACAGGTGCACTGTTATGATTGCAGGCCACTCGGATCTCACAGTAGACGTGACAGAGTCCAGTGCAAATCTTTCCATCCATCCTTTCCATCTCCCCTCCTCTTGAGATCCTTGCTGATTTAATTTCTGTTGGGATGTACTTTTCCTTGAGTAATTACCGCAGGTACTATGCGTAGGTGTTTTTCTGAGTCCTGTTCCTCTCAAGCTGTCCCTTTACTTTCACATAAGATACCACCCAGGTCAGATACGTGAGTCTTGGAGTCCAGCTGCAGCCTGAGTCTCTCCCCTCACAGAGTAGCCCGTTATTGCTTATCAGGGTTCGTGAGGTTTCTCCTGTGTCCCTGGTGGGGGCGGTGTGTGTATGTGTCTTTCTTGGTAGATCTTGCCCGGGACTGGGAGAGGTGCCTACCTGGCATCAGTTTCTCTGTCCTCGTTCCTTAACAAGCCCTGCTTTGTGCCATAGCCACACCTCCTGGACTTGAGACTTTTCTGTACGTCCCAAGTTGTCTTCTGCCAACACGTATTGTTATTATCAGAAAAAAGGAGAGAGTAGACATTTTCTTTTAATTACTCCATTTGGCCGTGAGAGTTTAACAATTCTGGCAGAGCCATCCCTTTTCTCCTCTGGGACCTTAGCTTCCCCAGATTATCCTGAGCGGAGTGGGAGCTGTGTGTGCACGTGTGACCTGATGCTGCTGTCACAGCCCTGTGCACTGTGACCTCTCCTCTCTTCCCAGGCTGGTCCTGCACTTCGGCGGGGGTGGCTTCTTGGCCTTCTATAACTGTCGGATGGTGTGGAGCTCCTCTTGCCCGGTGGTCAGACCCACCTCTGACATCTTGTCGGAAAAGTTCCATCGAGGACAGGCCCTGGAAGCTCTGGGCCGGGAGCAGCCCGTCTGCTATACGCTGTTGGACCAGAGATACTTCTCAGGCTTAGGTATGGCTGATGGCAGAGGGTGGTCCTGCTGACCGACCTAATGAAAAAGTCCCTCGTCCAGGAGGCAGGAAACTGGCACCCGCCACTGGTGTCAGTGATGCTGGACGATCACCTGGGCTCCTTAGCTCCACTTCCCTCGTTTTTAAAATGAGGGAGTAGATCAGGCCATTTCTAACTTCTCTCCTACCCTAATTATATTATCAGTCGTAGTCTGCCTGATAGCCACATTGGAGCATGACCTTCTAGAGGGCAGGGATCACATCCCCTCCATCCTTTTTTTTTTTTTAATTTATTTTTTGTTTGTTTGTTTGTTTGTTTTTTGCGGTACACGGGCCTCTCACTGCTGTGGCCTCTCCCATTGTGGAGCACAGGCTCCGGACGTGCAGGCTCAGCGGCCATGGCTCACAGGTCTAGCTGCTCCACGGCATGTGGGATCTTCCCGGACCGGGGCACGAACCCACGTCCCCTGCATCAGCAGGTGGACTCTCAACCACTGCGCCACCAGGGAAGCCCTAATTTATTTTTTAATTGAAGTATAGTAGAACAAACGCAGACCCTGCACCCAGAGGAGCACAGGCTTCCAGGAGCAGCCTTTGGGGTAAATTAGCAAGAGAAATGCTGTGTAACCGGCTGTTGTTACAAACGATAATCAGAACACCCGACATTTTTCAGGTGACTCCACTGTGCTAGGTACGTGGGTTCATCCTTACTGCTCTTCCTCAAGATGGCCACTTACTAGTTTTCCCTTCATTCAGATTAAGAAACTAAAGCAAAAGACACATTGCTCTAAGGGCACAGCTGAGATATGAAGCAGGTAGTCTGCTGGCGAATTTTAGAGAGAAATTTTGTGTGACTGTGAAGCTCTTGGAAAGAGCAGCCTTTTCACCTGTCCATCTGCTCCACACGTGCCAAACGCCTGGCCTCCACCGAGCTCACCTTCTCTCCTGAAGGAGAGGGTTGTTTAGTGACCCAGCAAGCATGGACTCAGCCCCCTGGAGCTAAAGATAGACTGTGATAAATGCCTAGTAGAGGTTAAAGAAAGTGCACTGTTGGGACATTTTGAAGAAACTTACTGATTCAGGAAGGAGAGGTCGAGGTTGACTTCACAGCAAATGAGGCAGGAGTAGGAAAATAATACAATAGTACCTCCTAAACACTTTCTATATTTCAGGCGTCATGCTTGACATTTTAAATAATAATAACAGCTAGTATTTATTGATTCCTCTCTACGTACCAGCACAGTGCTCAGCATTTGTATGTGTGTGTGAGAATTCTCATTTACTGCCCACGAAAACCGGGGAACCTACCCCCACTTTACAGACCAGGAAACGGAAGCCTCAAGAAGGCAGGGAATTCACCAGGGTCAGGTAGCCGGGATCTGGTTGGGCCGGGATTCACAGCCAGGCACTCAGGTCCGGAGCCCATTTTGTTAATCTCTTTGCTGTAACATGGGCCACGCGTGAGTTTTATGTCATTTTGTCTTCACAACAACCTAAAGGGTAAGTGTTAGCAACTACTTCGCAGACGGGCCGGATGATTCAGTGTGAGGCTTGCCCGAGAGCTTCTCGGCCACGCTGGATCTTCCTGAGACGCTCTCCGCTGCCATCGTATCAGCTGCGCTCTGTTTTGTTAATTATGTGGCCAGCTTTCCTTATGGATGTGTCCTTTTTCCTTCCCTTGTCCCCTCCCTGCCTCCTTCCAGGGAACATCATTAAGAACGAGGTCCTGTTCAGAGCTGGGATCCACCCGCTTTCTCCCGGCTCACTCCTGGGTCTTCCGCGCCTCGAGGCCCTGGTGGACCACGTGGTGGCCTTCAGTGCAGGCTGGCTGCGGGGCAAGTTCCAGGGCAGACAGCAGCACACGCAGATCTACCAGAAGGAGTGGTGCCCTGCTGGGCACCAGGTTGTGAAGGAGGCACTGGGACCTCCAGGGGGCTTCCAGAGGCTCACGTGGTGGTGCCCCCAGTGCCAGCCCAGGTTGTCGCTGGACGAGCCAGAGCAGGTGGCGCCCTCCTCGGGTGCTCGGGCCCCTTCTACTCAGAGCCTTGCCCTTGAGGGACTGTGATGCCTGAGTGTCGCCACAGGGGTGGTGGGCAGGGTTTGGGACTGGGGACAGGAATTGGGGGAGTGGGGTCGGGATGCCAGTGCTGTTGGTGTTCATCTCACCGGAGTTCAGGCTGAGGCAGTTTCCACAGGGTCCGATGTTGTTCTTTTCTAGTTCTGGTTAATTCTTCCTATCTAATCCCACCACTGTTGACAGATGAGGCAAATCGCGATGGCAGTTAAGGGGAAACCTCCCGGAGTGACCGTGGGGCAGCGAAAACGAGAGCCAGTGGAAGAGAGCTGAGCCAGCATCGCTTTGCAGGGGTTTGGTTTGGTTTGGTTTGGTTTTGGTTTTGAAACATTGGCTGGTGTTAAGTCCCTCCATTTGAGAACCAGGAAAAGGGAATTATCCTTCTTGGTTCCCCAAGAGGGATCCAGGGATGAGGGAGGGAGTCACAGGAGAGTGTTGCTCGGATTCAGCCTCCTGCCTGGACCCTTCCCATGGGACAGAGATGCCAGGAGAAGGAGGGGAAACGGGGGGACCAGGGAGCTGGCCACCTTCCCGGTGTGTCCATGGGCTTTAGAAAAAAGCGACTTGTTTCCTCCCCAAGGTGATGTGTTTGTGACAGTTGACATGCTCAACAGTGCAGGAATCCAGGTCGTTAGCAAAACCTAGAAGAAACCAGGACATGAAAATAAAGCTTTTCGTTATTTTGTGTTGTCACCTTTATTTGGCAGTAAAGGTTCTTTCACTGTACATAACTGAGCTCTTTGTGAAGATGCCGTTTAGGACTTGTTGGGTTGGTCGGATGGATCCATTTAAAAGGAGCAGGGCAGGGAGAAAGGTGAACATGCACCCTTATACTTGTCTGTCTTAAGTCACTGGGAGTTGTCCACAGCGGGGAAAGCCACCTTATGGCAGGCATTAGCTCAGGGCCAAGATGGTACCCAGACAGGCCATTTCCCGTAAGTCAACATCTGTCAGGGTCTGGAGTACAAGAGAGGGGTGGGCTGGACAGGCATCACAGCCTGCGTGCGGGTGGGCACCCACTGCGATTGGTAGAAAAGGGGAAATGCTGTTGCAGTTGCTGAGAAAAGCAGTGACACGACTAGAAACAGCCGTGGGTGTGGAAAGAAGAAGAGATGGGAGGGTCACCATGGTGATGGGCTCGTACATGTCAGCTGGCTGGATGTGAAAACGAGGGAGGGAGGTGGCTGAGAGCTGGAGGAAGCTGCCCCCACCTCGCCATTGAGACAGAGAGTCACGGGAGCTGAGCAGGTTCCGTGAGGAGACAGACCCTGTGTGCTGAGCCTGAGGCACCTGCACCTAAGTGGGGGGACAACACACCCAGGAAATGGGCCTGGCTCCCCACAAGTGCAGGCTTGCAGGTATAGATTTGGGAGCTTTCCTCACAGCTGAGGGTCGGTTCGAGAAGGTTAACAAGGCGATCATGCGGCATGAGAAGGATGGAGGTCACAGGGGAACCTTTAGAAGGTCTTTTGTTCAAGGGGCAAGAGAAGACAAGCCAATGGAAGATCAGATAAAACAGGAGGAAGGAACTTCGGGGGGCAGCCAGTGGTGCACACGTCGGAGAAGAGGCCTTCGAGTTTGACGGTTGGTTGAATTTGAGATCATGACCTCAATTTGGTCGAATTTGAGGTCATGACCTTCAAGAGCCATTTGTGTGGAGTGGTAGCCGGTCTGCAGGGGCTGAGGACTGGGTGGGAGCCCAGGGATCAGTGAGTGTGCTCTGCTCTTCAAGAAGGTTGCCCTTGAGGGACTTCACCGGTGGTCCAGTGGTTAAAACTACAAGCTCCCAATGCAGGGGGCCAGGCTCAATCCCTGGTCAGGGAACTAGATCCCACATGCATGCTGCAGCTAAGAGCCCACATGCCGCAACTTAAAAAAAAAGGATCCAGAGTGCCACAACTAAGACCTGGCGCAGCCAAATAAATAAATGTTTTTTTTAAAAAAGGTTGTCCTTGAAAGAGATGAGAAAGGGGGTCAGGGAGGGAGAGTGATGAAAGGATGAATGTGATGTGAGGATTCGTGTGTGATCAGGTGAGGGGAAATCCAGGAGGGAGAGAGACACCAGCGCCAGCACTTAGAGATGCCTGGGCTCCGGTGGGGAAAGAAAAGTAGACCCAGAGAAAACCAGCTGGCACAGAGTAGGAGTGGGGAGGTTTGTAACAGCTGCGAGGGGAAGTTAGAGCCGCTTAGGGCTCAAGGGAAGTTATAGAGCCACACTAGAGACCAGAGTAGTCGCTCCGTTTTCCAACTTTGTACAGCAGTCTCCAGTAGCTTAGGGTCAAAAACAAAGAGGGATGCTGGATGAACCGACAGTTGAAGGTCGTCAGGGTATGAACGGTAGAAGTCCAAGAGGGCAAAGGAGAATCCTTATTTTTTTAAGTTGTTTAAAATTATTTTAAAAAATACATCAAAAGATTCAAGCCATACAAAAGATTATAGAGCAAGACATGGAAGAATAATCCTCAGTCTACCCTGTCCTCTTAGGAGCTGACATCATTTCTCTGACTTCAGTCTGTATTGGGGGAAAATAGTAGCACCTAGCAGTTGAGTTGTAAACGCTGATGGCCGCACCATGAGTTCTGCATCGGAACTGCATAGACTGGGTTCCGCGTGGAAGCAGCGGGGAAGCGGAAACGTGGACTGCCAACAGAAAGCACAGCTACTGCAGCCCTCTGCGAGGTTATCATTCATCCTGGCAGGAGGCTCTCGGCGGAAAGTCTCAAGTTACTTCTGCAAAGGGGAAAGGCAGGGATAGCAGAGGTGGACTGAATGAGGGTTAAGAGAAGAGGATGGTGGTACAGAATCTACAGGGCTGGCGAGGTGAACAGTGGGAATGACTCCTGTGGCCTGCGTGCCTGTTGGACGTAAGGAAAGGCTGCAGTTGAGGGATGGGGTACAGAGTCAGCGAGTCCTGGTTTCACTTAGAAGAGAGAGAGGTGATGCATTTGGACTCAGCAGATTCCAGGGTAAAGAGTTACTTATGAGCTGGAGTTTCATGATTACTGACGTTGTAAAAAACTTGCAATTTTGTGTGAGGTTTCAGTGGCCTCAGCCATCTAATAAATATTTTTAAAATGCCTCCTAAATGCTAGTTCTGGGAATACAATGATAAACAAGAAAACTTCTGTACTAGTAGGAGGAGGCGGGCTTGTTACAACAGTGTTAGAAGCACTTTAGTAGGTTATTGTAAAGTGCTTTTTTGTGGGGTGGGGGGCGGGGGATTGGATAGGTGACTGCCCGTCTCTGTTCTAAAAGTTCCAGTACAGTCCCTATTTCAAGCCCTGATATTTAATAAGAAGTAATGGAGACTTCTTAAGTGGCAAGTACTGTGCCAGGTGCCCTGTTTAGACACTGTCCCTGACCTTGAGGGGTTCAAGGTGAGGTGAAGAGTCAGACAAGGGATAATTAACATACAGAAAGTTCAGGATGAGAGTGACCGCTGAACATCATTGAAGTACTGAGGTTTGTGGAAATAAAGACCACCAAAATAAGAAGAAGCAAGTGAGGCCCTTTATTCAGAACTGCTATAGCAAGGGCATCAGCCCCCACCACTTGCATGTGGCAGAAACTCAGAGGCAGGCAGGGGAAAACTTTATCAAAAAAAAAAAAAAATGAACTCATCATTGTGCTCTGATGGGAGGAAGTTGGCAAGGGGATGCTGGAAGCAGACTAACTCGAAGTGGGCTGTCTTATATGATTGGTTTGGGGAGCATGTTTGGCTTTCTGTGGTTGGTCCTGAGTTGGAAGTGGAGGCAAAGAATACAGAAGCAATTGATCAAGTCCTGACTATTCCAGGCCAGTTGGTGCAGAGGCTGTGGGACAGAACTGTGATACTGTTTATGGTCTGGTCACTGTCTGTTTGTCCATTCCCACAGTCTCTGGCTGGGCACCTGGACCCCACTCCGGAGCTGAAGGAGGCTCCAGCTGTGCCTAGTAAACAGCAGCACCGTGCCAGATGCTTCTGTCTCTCCCTCTTTGGGAGGGAGGTGGAACCTCACCTACTTTGTCTCTGTTATTTCCAGTGTCTGCCACATTGTTGTCGGTGCTCAGTGGGTGTTTGTTAAATCTGAAGAACAGATAAAGGAGAGGCCAGGGAGCTTCAGAAGAGGGTTCCTGAAGCAGGGGAGTCCACCTGAGCTGTAATGAAGGCGTGGCAGGTAGCTTGGTGAGGACGGAGGAAGGGCATTCAGGGCAGGTGAATTACTTGAGTCCTGGGGTATGAACTACTGTGGCCTGTGTGGTGAGTGCTGCCAGGGCTGGATCAGGGTTTGAGAGTTGTCGAGTGACTGAATAGGAGGCCGAAATCCAAAGGGAATGTAGGTGACAAATGATGGGAGGATTTTTATTCTATGCCAGAATTCTCAGATTTTATCTTGAAAGGCATTTCCTTTGTGCAATTTAAAATTGAAAGAAGGGAATGTTTTTTCTACAGGGTCCTTTTAACTGGCAGGGGAGTGCTAAAACTCTTAGCTTTATGTCTTCTGGCCAAAAGCAGTATGCAAGTAGAGATATAAAGTTATAACTTGACAGAGTTTAAAAAAGGACCAAACATCAGATACAACGCAAAGAAATTGTAGGTAAATGAGTCAGTTCTCAGTGAAGCTCCCTTCGGTCTGTTTTTCTGTGTTGCCAGACTGGACTCATGGAACCAAAGTCAAGAAGCCCACAGGGTCTCACCTTAAGCTAATTAAAATCATAATACCTTATAAAATAAAATTGAAAGATTGAGATTACTCAAGCTGTTACATGGGAATGGATAGAGAGAGAGAGATGGTAAACTGACCTGTAACAGTTTGAGAGAGAAGGTGGGGCTTGAACCTCGCTGGAGCAGAGAGGAAAGATTAAGAGGAGAGATGTTTGTTTCTTGGATTCCAGAGAACTGTTGAATGACTTACAAAGGGCAGGTGTAAGGAGAGAAAGGAGGAGTTAGGGATGACATTTGGATTTTATAATTAGGCAACTGGGAGGCAGTTAGTGCCATTCACAGGAGAAGCAGTCTCAATGGGAGAGAGATTCCAGTTAGGGCAATGTTAAGTTTGCAATGCTGAGGGGACATCAAAGAGTTGCACTGTTCTGGAGGCTTGGGGGTATGTGAGCAAACAAAACAAAGTCTGTCGTCATTGAACTTATATTCTAGCAAGGAAAAACAGACACTAAACATCGTAAGTAAACTATGTATTTTATATCAGAACGTGATCAGTGCTGAGATAGGCTGGGACCTGAGACCCTTTCCTGTAGTGCTTGCACCTGGACAAATGAGCAACAGAATACAAAGAAACTATAAGGGACTAAAAATAACTGCGTGGGCAGTTGGGGCAAATCCTGAACAATAAGATACAAAAAGACCAAAACCCAACTGGCACTTCTGAGGCGCCAGGAACAAAAGCAGGTACTACATGATCCCTGCACACAGTACCACCGAAGGGGTGGGCAGACCACCTAAGCCACCCCTCCGGCCCCACCCACCACCCACTGATCTGCCTCTACCTTCCCCCCATTTAAGGAACAAGCTCTCCCCCCTTCAGAGAGTGAGCAAGGGAACCTGTTACTTGTCTTCACTCCTTGGAGTCCCAGTAATGCCTTGCCTGAATTCCTGATCTGGCTTCATCAATTTCTATTGACTAAAGAGTCCAAAGACCTTAGTCAGTAACACTAGGACGGGAAAAACTAGAGCAGGCCGGGGAGTCAGCAGT